TGCAATGCCTCAAGGTGGGTTCTTGCCCATCCATTTGACAGTTGAAATACCCGATTTAAAAGATAAAGAAATAAAAGCAGTTTTTCTGGCCAAAAGTGGGGGATACCAGCCTGAACCCCAAACATCTCCCCTGCTCCTCGTTGGCAGCCAAAGAAATATCTGCACTCTACCCAGGAGAGCGAGAGCCCTCAACTGGGAGGCAGCAGATTCTGCATTTCTCCTCCCTGAGCCCTGGATTAGACCATTTTCCCTTGATTTTACACCAAAACACAGCTCTGATGCTCCGGTGCAGGGGCGAGACTCTCAGTTCTGGCAGCAGCACTTAAATCCTCCAAGCTCCAGCTTGTAGTAGTTCCTCTTCTCCTGGGGTTTATTGTCCAGGAGAAAAACTTATCCTCATCAGGCTAAAAAAAAAAAAAAAAAAAAAAAGCAGCCTTTCCTCTTTGTTTTACCTGGTTTTAGCAATTTGGGGAATTTTTTTTTTTTTTTTTCTGGGATTCCCTACGGGTTCAGCTGCCTCCTGCCAGTGGGATGCGGAGGGGAGATGGGACCGACCAAGGGCGTTTTGGGGATGGAAGCACCAAAAATGCTTTACCCCAGCTGGGATCCTGCTCCCAGCTCCCTCTCCAGCCCAGTACAACCAGTTTGGTGGGCCAAACGGGGTGCAGTGAGGCAGGAAAGGGTGGCCGGAGGCTAGCGAGTGTCCCTGCAAAAGGAACATTGCAATGCTCAATCAACCTCAACCCCAACTGGGAAATTTTGGGAAAGGTGGGAAAAGGGACCCTCCACCCAGCCAGGCATCACGAGGAGACCACGTACCCCCACGCACTGGCTGCCTTGGGGTACCGGGGGGGGTCATACCTGGGGTCCCCCCTCCAGGCCCAGTGGTCCCCATTTCGGGTACAGGTTGCAGCACTGGTCGGGTACGGAGGGACACGGGAAGGGGAAAAAAATAACAATGGGAGCCAGCGCAGGCTGCTCCAGGATGATGCTGCCTTTGCCAACATCAACCCAAAACGCCCCCCCACACCTCCCCAAGGTAATGGTGAGGGCAGGAAAAGACCCCGCTGCCCACCAGCCCTGGGGACAAGGAGTGGGAGGGATGACCCCAGTTTGGGATGACCCCAGTTTGGGATGACCCCAGGAGCAACTGGGAGAGCTGGGAGCCCCCCTGGCTGATGGCAGAGGGCTCAGGGGAGGAGGATGCAGTGGGGGGTAGGAAGGTGCGGATGCAACAGGGCTGGGGGTGGAGGAAGGTGTGATGCCAGAGGGTGTTCTGGGGGAGAAAAGTGGCAGAAAGGGGAAGGCAGGGGTGGGAGAGAGAGCAGAGGAGGGGGGGCAACCACCGCTGAACCCCGCTGCTCCCCCCCCATCACACCCCCAGCCACAAGCCAGGCAAAGGTGGGAGTGCAGAGACCAGCACGCTCCACTGACTTGTTAATTATATTGCTATTACTTGTTAATTGCTATTATATAGCAAATTTAAGAGTATTTTGCTATCTAAGACTACTTTTTCTTCCACTACCCCCCTCAAGACACAAAACACCCTTGCTCCATACCTTGCATGTCTGTAGATATAGATTTTTTTTTTTTTCTTGCAAGCTATTAAATCCCCCCTGTCCATTAAACCCTTTTTACCTAAACCCTCCAATTCCCAAATTTCCCCTCCGAGGCCACCACCCCCCTCCCCAAATTCCCTTGGGAAATCCACCTTGTCCTCTCCCACTTTTTATTTGGCCGGGATTCGGATCTAACCCGGACACGACCCCCCCCAGGAGCCCGGCCAAGGTTTGAAGGAAGGGATTGAGGTCTGATGTGCTAGAGCAGGCAGGAGTCCTTTGGGATGGATCAACAATATCCATATGGATGCTCTTCCAAGGCATCTTGCAAAAGCACTAAAAACCCCCAGACTGAGACTAAATAAAGCCCCTGGACCATGGGCAGGGCTTCCCAAGTGTGTGTGGGGGCTGACCAGGGCTGTTAATTAACTTAATTAATCTCCAGCCCCTTCCCATCTCAGTCGTTCTCTTTCTCAGGGTGGGGAGGGGAAAGAAAAAAAAAAAAAGCACATTTGTTTGCTCCCATCCCTTCTTGGTTTGGAGGAGATGCATTCCCCCCCGCCCCCCCCCCCCCCCCCCGCCCCGCCCCACCTCCCACCCAACATCTCACACCACAACC